ATGATGAGCACTGCAGCACCTTTATCTGCATTTAAAACGAACAGATCGTTTTGGCGCGAATATCTACAAACTTTATTTAAGTCATAAGATTTCTTTGGGATAATTTCTTCATCAAAATGAGCAGTCACTTCTCTTTCTATTCTATTCTTAGCCTCTTCTGGCAGCTTGTCCTATAAGTTAATTAACTCAACCAATATATTCATAGAATAATTTTGCTCATTTTGAAATGCAAAATTTAAACCCCTTTCCAAGACGAGCGTAACATTAGTATCTATAGATATCCTGGATAGGTTAAGGACTTTATTTTTGCTAGAAAAAATAGTACGAAGTTTACCTACCTCCGTATTGCTTCGATGATTCCTTTGGCTGATGTTGATGACTAAATTCCTTAAATTCTTATCATGTCGGGATCTATGAATCTTATCTATTCTATCCGCCAAACCAACCGCCATTTTCTGCAATTTAATAAAGTCTTCTTGACAAAATAGCCGAGAAAGGGAGTATCTAGCCCTTGTTTTGGTTCTGATCAAGTCATGTAATTTTTGTATACTTTCTTTGAGTCTAGACTTGACCAAACCATCTGATAGATGCTCCAGTTTCCTATGAGTGGAAATAGGCAAATCTGGACGTCTACCAAGAAAACAACATCTCGGAACCACATTATGTAAAATACAAATTTTTTAAAATCGAATAGCTTTGACTTGCCGGGACATAGATTTCTTGGTTTTCGTATAACCAGAATAAAGTTTATAGGAATTAATACCATACGTACGTAATATATGCGAAGAAAGGTTGTGTTTCGAGGAAGCTTTTATCTCATAATTGTTGAGCTTACTTCCATTTCACAAAATAATGCCACAAAATAATGCCACAAAATAATGCCACAAAATAATGGCACAAAATAATGTGTTCATGTGGCCGCCTCTATGTTGGAGATAATTGTCGTCCCATTCGACAAAGCGTGGCTGAGCACAGGCCAGAAATAGGACACGAGATTGAATAATCTCAAACTTGTCGTTTTGCTGAATATGGCATGTTTGCGGTTAAACGTAAAATGAGAGGAATATAAGGAATACTGGTAAGAAGATAAGTAAAAACTATTTGTGTTTAATTAATAGACTGAAGGATAGAGAAGGATTTGAGCCGCCTGCAAAAAGGAGGCGACGCAACTAGTCTTTGCCTATTTTTCTAATTAAGTATTGTTTCCGTGACTACCAGTAAATCAGTAATATGAGAAGTATTCACCCAATTTCGTTTAAGGTGATGAAGGACTGGTAGAAGAAGAATTTTCCCACAATCATATGAGTTGAGCGTTGAGTTGATATGAGTGGTTGGCGTGTCAAGCTCCCATCCTGCACTGTCGCGGTTCGACTCCCGCTGAGGGTATTGATAAGACCGATGCGAGGTCGAAACTGCAGTCCACTCCAGCCGAGATGAGAACAACTTTTGGGAAGGCAAGGCCATGTGAAATTGAATGGAAACGTCAGCTTAACTTATATGATTGTGGAAAAATTCTTCTTCTACCAGCCCTTCATCACCTTAAACGAAATTGAGTGAATGCATCTCATAGTCTTTTCTTGTTTTGGTTTTAATGATAGTCGATTCTCTGTACTTTGAGCTCACTTTTTCTCTCTCGCATTCATACCAAAAACAAAAATTAGGCTCCCTAACAAGACCAGACTAGTGTCCGACCTTGCGCAATCGGAGTGATGGTTATAACTTAAATGTAGAAAGGGGAGATAAGGGTCATAAAACCATGATGGCCGAGAGCAGACCTTACTTTCGCTGTCGTAATTACTTTGAGCCATCACTGCGAGTTTCGTGCATAAGCAAACACAAGTAGGCACTTGCACATACACAGACAGACACAATCACAAGCATCGAAGTTGACATATGACCGTAACTAACCGTAACCAAATCACTTTATATCCGATCAAAAAGGCCAAATGTAGAGTATATATATACCACTTTTTAGGGATTTGCCGGTGAGTTGTCTTGACTCGTTAGCTTGAATTGGGTTGTGACGATGATACCTCGCTCTGATGATGTCCGTCATCTGACGGACGAAAGCTTAGCACCTTTTCACCGGAATCGAAGAAGATTGCTTCGGAAACAGAGTCAGCATGAATCTTCCAGTAAAGCCAATCGACAGCTGGTAAAGAGGAATCCGCCGTCGTATTCTGGTGCAACCGACCTTCGAATCTCTTCACCAAACACTTTCCCTCGAAATGGATGTAAGCTCAACAATAGTGAAACAAGAGATTTCTCAGAACTCAACATTTCTTCGCATAGGTTAAGTTAAATTGACAAAATGACGATCCATTTAAATGCATCAGAAACATGCCAACTTTCAGTGATGGATACCAAAAGCGTCTTAATGCTGGACTTCATGAATCGTTTGACGTTTTTGTAAGCAAGAAAGTAAACGAAAAATTAAAAATGAATTGACTTCTTCAAAGGTAACCTAGAGCCCCTTTAGCTTAAGGCCTTTGAAAGATGCATAAGCAGAGAATTCGTTTACGATTGCCTGTTGGTACTAAAGTAAGTGTGATGCATAGGATTGTCCGATTTTAATGAAAAAAAAGGAATACTTCATATATATTATATTGGTCGATAAATAAAAGAGTAAGGAGCACATTTTGATGAGCTTTTATTTATAATCAACGCATACTAAAATCCCCTTTCAGGAGGCATTTTGATGAGCCTCTTATGGAGACTTTCACTTTGCATGAATGTAAATGATGAATAGATTCATGGTCGGATATCAACAGAAGATGCGTTGTTCTGCAACCGTGTTTGGCTTTAATAAGACGAGACATTCTCCCTAGTTTCGGTTGAAAACCGGCTGATCTCTCTTCCGCCTAATCTATCAATTTAATTAGCATTTCGCAGCAGACATGCCAAAATCAGCAAACCTCTGCTTCCGAGGATATTCTATCTCATTTCCAGTATTCGATTTGTACTTAGTCACTTTTGTCTTCCACTTGAGACTTTTGCAATAATCAGTCCCAGATCTGATGACGTTCGTAAATTGATGAAGGAAATCTCAGCCCGTTTTCGCGCCAAATGGGGAAGTATGTCTGGTGGACGGCATAACAACGCAAATCATTCAATGACTTTTTGTAACATAAATCTACCAAGCTCTTCATCATGAACTTTCATAAAAAATGAAATGTCAGCCCAAAATAATTCATTCGTACATACAATCTTTCTCTTTCTCTTTTTCGAATAAAGTATTGTTTTCGTGACTACCGGTAAATCAGTAATATGAGATGTATTCACCCAATTTCGTTTAAGCTGATAAAGGACTGGGTGAGAACAAGTTTTGGGAAAGCAAGGCAACTCATATGATTGTGGGAAAATTCTTCTTCTACCAGTCCTTCATCGCCTTAAACGAAATTGTGTGAATACATCTCATTTTATCTTTCTCACCAACTCGAAAGCTCATCAATTCAGCCAGGCTTCTGCCCGACTTGCGCAATCGGAGTGATGGTCAAAATAGACGAAAAGGATTGTTGACCCACCACTGCTGGCTTTTCACATATACCAACACCTAAAGGGACATGAGCACACCCACAAAGCACCATGAACATGCTTTGTTGGCTGAATGTCGTCTCACTTACTCATAAAATGAATTTTGCCTCTCAGCTTAACTTTTGCCGACCAATTTTGTCGGTATTCCCACTCTTTCTTTTTGAAACTCCTTTCCATTTCGCACACTTGCGATTCAGCGGCTGCTGCCGGCCTTCCTGTCCTTCTCGAGGCGCTGGACACTTCTCTCAAAGTGGGCATCAAAGGGCCGAGCTCTGGCATATGGAATGAGCTTGAGATTTCGACAGAGCCTCCCGGAACTTCTCAGACCAAAGTCATTGTCGAGGCTGGCACTTTGGAAATTGTGCTCGGAGGTCTGTCACCATGCCGCCTATATTCTGTCGATGTTGTGACGCTGGCCTACGGGGCCAGAGCCAAAGTCACCACGGCCGAGTTCAAAACACGTAC